TGATCTTTTAACATTAACTCTTGGTGAAGAACAAATTTAACACTTGCATTTTAAAAAATCTTTTAAATTTAATTCTCATACCAAAAGCCAATCATATTCATCTTCTCTATCTCCACCTTCCTTCCCCCCTCCCATCCTCTCTCCCTCTCTCTTCCTCTCTCTCTTTCCTTCCCTTAGTCATAGGCAAGTTGATTTTGAAGTAAAAATCACAGTCTTCATAACATACCGGTGTGCGATGACCCTATTTGCTGCTGTGTCTTGGTGGCCATGTTGAAATTTAAGCAAAGAGAAGTGGAGACACTTCTGGATTCCATGTTTTCATCTTTCTTAATTTACTCCTATTTTGTAGCACATCATTTAATAGTTTCTTAATTTTACTTTCTGGTAGATTTCTTCAACTTCATCTTCCAACTCCTGTTGACTTTATTCCTGCTATCATATTTTTTACTTTCCAATATCTCTTTTATTCTCCAAAAGTTGTACTTTTAGATAGCCTTCTGTCCTTGTTTTATTTATTTATTTATTTACTTACTTACTTACTTACTTATTTATTTGTGCATGTAAGTGACATGATCAGATGATAAACGTTTTAAGGGGTGGAGTTAGGATTCAGACATGGAAATCATCCTTCTAACCCTCACCCTTTGACTTTATTTGGGGGATGTGACATAAGGCAAGGGTGTTTTGCATTTCATGGATCTTTTCCCCATGGTCCAGGGGAGTGTTTGGAGGTGATGCAATTCTACTCTTCCAGGAAGGTTGTGAGAAAAACAGGAATCAGGCGGGCTGTGGTTGGGGTTTGGGAGAGAAAGACAAGCTTCACTGGAAACGGGTGATTTTGAGAAGAGTGGCAAAGGCTGAAGGTGTATTGCAGATAGTTGCAAAAGGACTGGGTGATGAGAAAATGAAGGCGGGAGACATGGAGCGATATTTCAAGAAGCTTGGCATTGAATAACAAGAGAGATAATTACGGTGATAGCTGATGTGGAAGGAGGGACAAGGGCGGGGCTTCAAGTGTGTTGAGCTATCCTTTGGTTTACCTTGTTTTCTGCATGTTTCACATATCTCTTTGCCTGGGAGCTCAGTCTGAAACTCTGGTTTCTTGTAGCTTTAACTTCAGGGTAAAAAGGCAAATTTTATGTGAATCTGAATTAGGGCTCCTGATGTAAAACCCCTGGACCCTGATCCGGCCGTTACCAAAGAATGGAAATGTGGATCCGGAGAGGCAAGGTTTAATTAAGCAGGAGCAGTTTTATTGCAAAAGCGCAAGAGAAGCGAGAGAACAGCTCTCTGCGGGACCACAAAAAGGGGGATTTGAAAATGAAATGTCCCCTGTTCTTGTTTTATGTAATCAGCATCTTCTAGTTCTTTGAAGATATTAATATAGGTGGGCTTTATTATTATTATTGTTATTATTCTCCCTACGTTGGCAATTTTCTATAAATTCTTTTTATCTGTTGGTTCCTTTCTTGTCTCTTTCATGTTAGATGCTCTATATATCTTAGAATGAGGCATAAAAATGCTGATTTGAAACTCTGTGTGCCTAGCTGGGATTTATTTATTTATATTAGGGTGATATTGGCTGGTAGGCTTAATATTAGACTAGGGTTTCTCATCTTTGGCGTTATTGACATTTTGAACTGGATAATGGTTTGGAGGGGGTGGGGCAGGCAGAGGGGAGGATGTGCTGTCCTGTTCATTTTAAGATGTTCAGTAGCATCCCTGGCCTCTGTGCAGTAGAAGCCAGTAGCACACCTCTCCCCCACCAACACACACAGTTGTTTACAATCAAGACTTTCTCCAGACGTTGCCAAATTGCCCCTGGGGTAAAACCATCCCTAGTTAATAACCACTGCATTAGGGCGATGAGAGTTTTGAGATTGCCTTGGAGAGAATTTCTCTAGTTTTCTGCTTTGTGAGTGAGGCGTACGAACCTGGTCACTAGTATTCAGAAGCCAAGCAGAGGAATGGACCTGGGCATCTCACCATTCCATATAGAGACTTTAACTTAATCTCTGTGGAAGGCAGGATAGCAGCCTCTCAAAGATGTCCACGTTCTAACCTCGCGAACCTGTGAATATGTTACGTTACATAACATGGGGAGATTATCCTGTATTATACAGTTGGATTTAAACATGGAAGAGGAAGGCAGCAGAGTCAGTGTTAGAATAAGGCAATGTGAGAAAGACTTGACTGGCCATTGCTGGCTTTGAAGATGGAAGGGGGCCATGAGCCAAGAAATGCAGGCAGCCTCTCAAAGCTAGAAAAGACAAGAAAACAGATTCTTTCCCAGAGCCTCCAGAAAGGAATTCAACCCTGCTGACACCCTGATTGTAGCCAGTGAGACCCATTTTGAACTTCTGACCTCCAGAGCTGTGCGATAATAAATTTGTGTTCTTTCAGACCACTTAGTTTGTGGTAATTTTTTATAGCAGCCATAGGAAACTAGTACAATCTCACTGCTTTCAGTGTGGTACTTCATCATTCGCCCTCATCCCTTCCTGGTATGTTCAAGGCTAGAGCCAATCTGGGACTTTCTCTCCCAGCATGAATCAACAAGTTCTACCTATCTTCTGTCAACCAACCCTCCCATTTAAAGCCTTCTCCTAAACTCCCTCAAAACATTTAGAAGTACCTTGTGCCTCCAATTCCTAAAGTTATCTAGGATTCTGCAGCAAAGATAGACTGGCTTTTTATCATTGCAAGTAGACTTCCTCTTTCTCTATTCTGCTAAATCAGTCATCACTCACGTGCATTCCTTCTTCCAAAATTTACGGACATCTCTTGTCTGCTACCTCTCTCATTCTTTTTGATCCTTAAGAGTTCATCGTGTTTGGGTTCTTTGCTATTTACTGTTTTGGTCATTTTAGTGGGACTTGAGAAATAATGAAAACAAACACCCATATTTAACTACTATGTTTAACTAGTTTTATTTTTAGCTGACATTTTATTGGGCATTTATTGTGTACTAGATTTTTGGATAAAGCCTCATGTGAATTATATTATTTAAACCATATAATAGCTCTAGGAGATAGCAACTGTTACTTTCATTCACATTTAATAAATAAAACTAATGCTTGACTTAGGTGACAAAGCTAATAATATGGAACAGAACCAGGAAGGAACCCAAGTCTTCCTGAATCCCATTTTCCTAACCAATCTTGTTCATTTTTACAAGTTTCACTCTAGAGCAGAAGTCAGCAAACTATGGCCCATTGATCAGATCCAGCCTGTCACCTACTTTATTAAGTTTTATTGGGACAAAGCCACACCCATTCATTGACTATTGTTTACATCTGTTTTTGTGCTACAATGTTAGAGTTCAATAGTTGAAACAGACTTCAATAGTTAAAACAGAAGTCCTAAAATATTTGCTCTCTGATCCTTGTGGAAAAATTTGCTAGGCCCTTCTCTAGAAAATAACCTTATTACTAAGTTTTCAGGTCATGGTGTCCTCAAGTACTTAAAACTTTTATTACTGTATCAAATCAAAGGCATTCTTTTCATTGTTCCCTCAACCTTTTGTTATATTGCAGATATCAATCTTTGATCATGGTTAAGAAAGGAAAGTCTCTAAAACCATCTTTTTTGTGAAATTTTTCCCATAGTCAGTCGTATTTGCTCCCTGTTCTGTGCTCCTACATCAGTTATTACAATTATAGCACTTAATGCAGTTTGATTCACATAATAGTTACTTTTTGTAATTCCCGTTGGATGTAGCAAGTGCTGGTGCTGAGTATATATTTACATAAGCATTTATTAAATACTTTCTAAGTGTTGGTGTTTTGGACACTGGAGATACAAAAATAAATATGACAACTTTGGATTAATATGTATCTTATTTAATTAAGTACAAAAAAAAATAGAAAAAAAGCAGGAGTCTGGGCTGGTGGTCCCTGAAACAGCTGCAGCATAATCACCATAAGGGCTTGAATAACATCCCAGACGTACTGAATCAAAACCTCTGGGGGTGAGGGCCAGTAATTTGTGTTCTTAATCAGCATTTCAGATGATACTTAAGCAGGGAAGTTTGAGAATCGCTGCATCAGTAGATAGAAAAGACTGTTTCTAAATGTGCAAGTAATATGACAGAGTAAGAACATGACCGTCTCACATGGTCTCCTTTAATACAAACCAATTTCTGTCAAAATATGATCTTGTGTTGCTCATTCCTTCCTTCCAAAAGATTACTAGACATGCTTACCTAGAAATTTGGACATTCTTCCCATCTCTTACTAAATGTATCTTTTTCACCATTGTAACCCTGTACCAGGCACAGTTCCTGGCACCTAGTGGATATCAATAATTTGTGTTCAGCTATTGCATACCCAAAGTAAAACTTCTCCAAGTTGTCCTAATATGTAGAATAGTATTTTTCCAATTTTAGACTGCGATGGTATAAGGATCGTTTGAGTACAAAGAAGATTAACACACCCAGGTAAATGTTTAGTCTATCTCCATCTTGTTTTCCTCCCTCTAGAAACGCTTCTTTCTAGCTCTCAGGGCCTCTGTTCTTGTGGGAATATCAACCTCCCCATTAAGGCTAAGCTAGACCGAACAGAGCCAAGTGGGCTCGTGGAAAAGGTCAAGCATTACGGATTCTTCTTCATGTAGATATTCTCTTTCTAGAAGCTTTAGCCTGCAGAGAGCCCTAGAGTACATTTAAAAAAGGCTTACCTACCTCTGAGGATGATAGATACTCAAGTATCTACAATGCGAGTTTTATAACAATGGACTCTTGCTATACCTGACACAGATCTACCCCTCCCACTAGAACGCTGAATTATTTTGCTGGAGGCTACAACATTCTGAGCAGTTTATTGGGAGTTGCAGGTGGGGATAACTCACCCGGTACAAGCTTAGCAGAGCTGAGCCGCTGCAGCTTGTTGGGCTAGCCTTTGATGCAGACTGGTTGGACAGGTTCTGGATCTACAGAAGAACCGGTTTTACTGGCCTGTTATGCCAACATATTCTGGTTTGATTCCATGTTCCACAGACGGTAGAAACCTGCCCAGCCAGTTAAATGAAAGACATATTAGGTTATCCATTGCACACCGTATATAGCTTAGATGCAGCACAACTCTTCCACATAGCAGTAGTGTCTAGTAAACTCTAGCGTGGTCCAGAGAGGTGGCTTCCACTGATTTCCTGTTTAAGTTCATAGCTTCAGGGAAAGTCAGCAGTGAAACACCTGCTTTTGACCAAGAGCAGAGGGTTTCTAAATGAATTGAAGGGTAAGTTAATACATTATTCTTATATTTCTCAATTTTCTGTGCACTTTTGGAAGGTTAAATTAAATGATGTTTTAAGAAGATGTCTATTTTAAATATGATAATAACTGCATTATGCCTTTTATGTAAAACTGGTTATATATGGTTTCATAACATTTGCATATATGTTCACTGATTTGTTTGGATAAAGGTTATTTTGTATATAATACACTTTTGCTATACTTTTTGTAAGTTAGGCATGGCTATAGTCATTTAAAAAGCTGAGTTGAATAAGTTTGCTAAATATATTTCACCTATTAATGATTCATCTTAAGCCATCTACTTCTTTGATAATATCTTATTATGTTTTATAGGCTGTTGCTATACAGGAACAATTTTATATGGTAAATCTAATTGCGGATGAAATAATAATTGCTTTTTTAAGGTTTTTTAAAAAAAAAATGGTGTTGGCTTCCTTGGTGATCCTAAGTACATTAGAGGAACAATTCACAGCAAGAATTGAGGAGTGTGAAAAAAAAACATTGTGGAATCTGGTAACTGATTAACTATTGGAGCTCAAAAGCACTTGCTGAGCTGAATAGAAAGGAATGAAGACAAGTTTTGTCATGCCTTATTACATCTGAACAACTTTTGGGGTTAAAGAAAATTTGTATCTTCCTTTCCTTTATATTTTAAAATAATTATGTTATGTCTCTCTTTCATTGATCCAATTAATTTATGTTAGTAGTTTGTGTCATTTAAAATGAAAGTTACCAATCCCTTTAGATTTATTTTGGCATACCCAAACTACCCCCTTAATATTAGGTTGAATTGAATGCATGCATCTTCTTGGCATTCAATTTAACATTACAGTTTACACATGAATTTATTTGGAAATTAAAATAACTTTTTAAACAGATTTATACTGAATATTCTCCTGTCAAAAGCTATCTGTAAGCCATCTTAATACAACTTTGCCTTGAACTGAGCAAGACTAATGCACACTTCATTGTCCCTAGAGTCCTTACTTTGTCATTATGTTCAAACTCAAAGGTAATAAGTTTCTTTAGAATGTTTATAAGTGAGAATAAATATTCAGATGAGATTTCTTTTTTTTTTTTTTTTTTTTTAGTGAAACCCTTTGGATGCTTTTTTACTCCAAAGCAATTCTGCATAAAACTGCTGATAATTCAGCTAAACTTCTAAAAAGCCATGTAATGTTGAATCTGCAAAAGGAATGTGCTGATTCAGCAAACCAAAATTAATTTTATTCAGCATAAGCTATATTCTGACAATTTGGGGGAAATATGGATCAAAATTTTCAGTTGGTTGAATTTTTCTTTTTTCAGGTAAGGCATAGACATATCAATAGAGTATACTTTTAGTTTTTTTGGTGAATATATTATATATGGTAATTTAAAAATTTTAAACCATATAGTGTTTAAAATACAGGGCTTACTATTTGGAAATAAATTTAATTTGGAATTCCAATTTATTTATTGAGCATTTTTATGTTTATGATTTTGAGGAAAGCAATTTAAGAACTAGATATATATTTCATAAAAATCCCTGGGTAAAATTTTAAGCCTAACTCTACATTTTGGAGAGGGATTCTATAGTTTTCGTTTAATAGGATTTTCAGTTTCAAAAATATGGAAATCCTATTAAACATGACTGTTATGTATTTTCCATAAATCAATTCCTTTAAAACATTCATACATTGTGATGTTTTGATTAAATTAAGGATATGCGGATTTATCAATCAAATTAGGAGTGTGTGTGTGTGTGTGTGTGTGTGTGTGTGTGTGTGTGTGTGTTTTATATGACCCTACATTATCTCAGGGCCCAGGTCAAAAAGTGTTCTACTCATTTAAAAATCTTTCAATTCTTTAATTCTCATTAGATGAATTTCTTTATTCCTAGCGACACAGTTTCACACAATGACTGTTTTTGTCAACAATGTTAGCTTTCTTAACAACAGTAACCTCTTTCCTTCCTGAATATCTTCATGTGTTTCCTAGCAAAAGCACTTAGAATCCTAACATTTTTGAGCCAGAAGGACTCTTAAATATAACTAATGAATCCAACTCCTCATGTTTGAGTTGAATGAAAAGCCCCAAAATGTAGGTGAATCACCACTATACAACTTAAGGGTAGATCTGGCACCAGAACATCTCAGTTTCCTGAATACCAGCCCAGACTAATAGTTTTTTTCACTACCCTACATTGACTCTTCTGAATGCTACATGAAATCTAATCTGTTTTCTAAAGGATTTGTAAAAAGATAAAATTGTATTGTAGAGTTATGTTAATGAGTCTTTGCTGAACTAAGAAATTATTTGTTTTTATATTTTAATCTATATCATTATTGTCCCCAAACTTTTTTTGTCATAGTAGCTGAATTTATGGAGTTGTCATTGGTAATGAAGGTGACTAGCCCTTCAAACCCTAATCTCTTAATGCCAAATTAAAATTTTGCATCAAACTGATACATTCCTTAATATTTGCTTCATATTCCCCTTCATATTTGTGGATCTTGCTGTCATTTTCTGACTTAATATTGCTTTAAACTATCTCAACTGTTTATTTTCTTAGTATGTATGTATTCTTGTATTGTTTTAGTCACTGTTATATGGATATGTATAGTTTAGGATTTGCCTAAAAAGTTAGTACATCTAAAATTTGGCTAGAACTGACAGGAAAATTTCAATAAGGTTATGACCAGAACTGCAGGATTCAAAACCCATGTTTGAAATGATAGAAGCTATATTTAAGTGGTAAGCTCTTAATACAGTGCTATGCACACAATTGATCAAAATTCTTTAAATGTTTTTAACTTTAGGAATGCAAGGAAATGGGATCACAGAAAGCCTGAGAGCCAAGGTCTCCAAAAATTTTCAATTCTAATTCCTAGAGCTAAATGTTAATTTTCCTAATCCCCTTATCTTTTCACAGGGAGAATCCTACCTGAGGGATGCTTCTAAATTTGGTAAGTTTAGTTCAGTCCAAGTGGACTCTGGAATATAATCACCTCCATTTGTTTTCTCATCTTTACAGACAAGAGAATGGGTAGTTATATTGAAAAATATAGGGGCATTTCAGATGGGTTTGAATACTGACTCTGCTACAAACCAGTTTACCCTTGGGAAGTACTGAACCGTCTGAGTTCTCCTTTCTTCATCTGTAAATTAGGGAAACTAATACCATTCTCTAAAGAATTGTTGGAAGGGTTATATGATATATGGTGTATAAAACACCTAGCACAGTTCCTAGAACATCGTAGGAGCAACAAATGTCAATATCCTTTCCACCCCATTAATAGAATATATAATAAATTTCAACAAATAGCTTGAGTAAGTGAAGTCAAAGCTTAACTTAGAACATATATTTCATTTTTGTCAGAGAGATAAAAATTTAATCAGCAACTTTGGACAGCATTAAGATCTAATATCAGAAAATATTTAACCTTATTAAATTAGAAACCCATATAATTGAAACCAATTAAAGAGTCAAGAAGCCTTTTTTAAACATATTTGAGAGCAATATACTAAAGTAATTAAAAGGTTTAAATAATTTTTAAAAATCCAAATTTCAATCATTTATACCAAAAAAAAAGAATTGTGACATAGACCAAATTATACCTTACTTGTGCCTAGCAATGGAGTTTTTCAAGGACACTTTATATCTATTTATATCTATTATCTCATATGACATCAAATTATTTGTCCAAAGATTTCTATATGTTCAAAGGATTATGCTCTTTCTACTAAAAAGTGAATTCTTCAGGGCTCTAGAATGCTTTTTCCTCCAAAAGATGCTCTTCCAAATTAAATTTATTGTAGGTCAGTATTAAACTGTACTGCATTTCTTTGATAGTAAATGATAAGGAGGGTGAGTCCAAAGTGTTTTGGATGTAATACGTAAGGTAGGATAGAATTGAACATTTTCTAAAAATAATATTAAATTAGCCTCAGATGCATTAGTTGATTAGGAGATAGAGCCAATGAGCAAAGTTCACATGCAAGATACGCTTTTATGAAATGCACGTCATCATCAGAAGGTAGCTCAGAATAGTGTGACAAAACATTCCAAGAGCTAAGAGCAGGAATTTGGTTATGACTTGATACTAGAACCAGCAAATGGATTCACAAACTGATCTTATTGAGCTCTTGCAAGACGTTTAATTGTTATACAAATAAGCTTAGTACTGACAATATAATTTAAATTTATATCCATGGTAAATGAATTTGTTTTTCTCAAATTCTCAAGTTTGTATGTAGATGGTATACCTAAAGACAAATGTACTGCTTACCAATTAAGCTCACTAATTATACATTCTTATTAAAACTATTTTATTAGATACATAAGCAATTTAGTCTTATGTAACTATTAATTTGCACTTATTTTTATGCATTTAGAGTGGATATTACTATAAACAATTGAAAAGTAACAAATTTAAAATATATTTTTTAAATGTTTCTATATAAATACAGATGCTTCTCAGCTTATGATGGGGTTATATCCCAATAAACCCATCAAAAGTTGAAAATATTGTTAAGTCGAAAATGCATTTACTACCACAAGGTAGAGTATCAGTTGCTTACCCTCGTGATCACATCACTGACTAGAAGCTATGACTTGCTGATGCTAGCTAGCATCAGGAGACAGTATAGTACTGCATATTGCTAGAAAAGTTCAAAATTCAAAATTCCAAGTAAATTTATTTCTACTAAATAAATTCACATTGCTTTCGCACCATCATAAAACTGAAAAATCGTAAGTCAAACCATCATAAATAGGGCACTGTAGCTAATTTAGATAATTCAGGACTAACAACTAAATTTACTATGCATCTAAAATGAACTGGGATATAGAGAATGTTATAGTTCATCATATTAAAGACATATAGCCTTAAAAATAATCATAAAACTATTATCTTAGAAGTTATTACTGACAAAGTAAAAATATAACTTGTGTGGCAAATTTTTAGTTTCAAAGTTCTATCTTAAGTCTATTCCCTTGAAAGTTCATTGCCTACTGTTTCTACAATGATTTAGATTAAGAGTGAGAAAAACTTTACAACACAAAAACATTTTAAGTCTAATGAATTTCAGAATGAATCTTGAAACATTGAGAAATACAAGATCAATAACTTTATGCAGTTTGCAATACAATATTTTTAGAGCAATTCAGAGAATTCTGTGATGAAGTCTTCTATAAAAAAAATTTTACATCTAACATATACAGGTCAAATTTGGAGGGCAGAGGTCTCCTTACTGAAAGTAGATGAAATACTATCTGAGATGGTAGGATCATTCATTTTCTGAAAATATACATATTATAATCAATTTTCAATAACACAATGAGAACTGAATGGTAAATACCATCTACATAGCATTTTTGTGAGCTGTTAAATTCTGCTTTAGTCACTTTCCAAGTAATTGTCTGACAAAATTTAAAACAAATATATGTTGCTCAAGAACAAATATACTGTTTTTTAAATATAGTATAGAACTGTAACTTGGCTACAGGCCAGAAACCTATATACTGGATCTGGAACCTGGCTACACTGGAACCTGGCTATAGGCCATTCAGTAAGAAATTTGTTCAGTCCATTCCAGCATAACAATACCAGTCTCTTTTCCCACAGTTTTACTTCTTTTTTAAAAAAAAAAAAGATTTTATTGGGGAATTGAGGGAGGGGAACAGCACTGGGGAATCAGGGGAAGGGGAACAGACAAGTTGCTGTCTTTTGGTTCTTCAGTCTAGTTTTGGAGGACGTTGCTTCACTGGCCCGTGTTGGTATTATCATTGTGCTCTTCCCAGGTGAGGCAGATCGGTTGCCGGCCTCTGGACGGCCGCTCATGACAGCTCTTGGCAGCTCACACAAGCTGCCAGCCGCTCAGGCTGGCTGCCAGCCACACACGGTAGCTTATGGCAGCCCACTTCAGCAAGGGCTGCAGCCTACGCCGTCGCCAGCGACTCACGGCAGCCCAGCTCCAGGTCGAACCATTGTTCACCATCTTAGCTGTAGAGGGCAGTGTCACTGGCCCTCATGTGGGATCTGAACCGGTGCCCTGCTGCTCAGAGCTGGTGTCCCAAGCCAGCTCTTAATCAACAGCCCCTCGGCCGGCCCCACCATTTTACTTCTTAAGACGTAAGTGTTTACTTCTTTGAGATGAATGACCTTTTCTAGTTCCACCAGTAAGCATACATTAAACACATCTAGCATAAAGTAAATTCTCGGCAGTTCCTTGGTATCATAATAAACCACATGTTAATACTAATGTTAAAGCCAAGTAAGTAATATCAAATCAAATTTCAACAAAGGAAGAGCATAATGACTCTGAAATAAAAATTGAATTATATTTTTAATCTGACTTCCCAGTCTGTGGTTTGTTCCCTCAGTTTATTAGAATGTGGGATTAATGGTACCATAATACTAACAGTCCCTGTGAGGTCTGTTATTTGTCATTTACTTCATAATCATAGATTATACCCAGCAGTATTACTACTATAACAATGTAGCAATGCTTCTCAAAGTGTAGTTTCTGGACCATCTGACTCACCTGGCGATGCCTATTAAAAATGCAGATTGCTAAACTCCATTCTAGACATATCACATTAGAATCTCTGGCTGGTAGATCCTATGAATCTGCATATTACATATTTTCTAGATTATATGTCCAATCCAACGAATGTCCAATAAAGTTTGAGAAGCAGCAAGAAAAGGTTCTCTTGCCTGTAAGGGACTGAGTGAAAGTATATGAGTACCTTCAAATCCAACCATTATCATTATCAGAAAAATAGCCTTTAATGCAGATGTTCAGCCTATCTTGGATCATCATCAACATTCTTACAAAGTACTGCATGAAATTAATCTGACTCCCATCCATGCACGCAAACTTTCAAATTTTTAAATTTTCTTTAATAACAAAGATAGTGAAATGGAAATCTCATGTTTAACTTTTATGTCTTAGTTTGGTTTCTCCCTGGAAAGTAGAGCATAAATCCTCCAGATTATGTGCAAGGTCTTTATTTGGGAAATCGTCCCAGGGAACAGAAGTGGGGAATTAGAAGGAAATGGGGAGGAAGGAAAGCCAATACAAAAGTGCATTCTGGAGTTTATCCTCCACTATGAACTAATGGGGCTGAATCCCAGTACCTTTTTAGGAGCCATGAAGCTGAAGACATGAAAGAAGAGCATTTATCCACCAGTTCTGACTTTTATCAGCTAAACATTGCTTCATGAGTTGTTACTTTCCTCACACTTTCAGGTTGTGCTTCTATTGCCAAGGGCTTCAGAGAAGTCCCCAGGACAGAAAGTCAGGTGAGGGGCTGTCAGGTTTCACCTGGTTGCCACTGCAATGGCTGGAGTAAGCAGAGCCCAAAAGCTGTCCAGTACATCACTATTATAGGATACATATGGTCAAACTGCTTTTTCCTTAGTTTACCAATATAATTTTAATACACTATACAACTAAAAAGGATTTTCTAAGAAATGAGTACAGCAATTTCAAATGGAAAGTGAGGAACTTTAGCCTATTTTTGTCTGATGTATTTGATCCATTCCCACAAAACCTGAGATGCACTGAAACTTGATCTTCTGCGAGAAAGGTATTTTCTAATAAACTACATTTCATTTCCTGAGTTTGGTTGCCAATTTTTAAAGGGTCAAACATCAGCAAAATGAACAGTTAGTGTGTATTCTGAAAACACTTTTGTGTCTAACATTGATCCAAAGATTTTATTGTTTAAGTTTACATTGGTAAAATTATAGTAAAAACAGATTGACTACATTGGACCCTCAAGTAACACTTCTTATTATAGTAAAACACAGAATTTTGAATAGTACAAGTTTGTCTTGGACTGTGTCCAAGAGGGTCTGGTTACAAGAAGTAATTCATTATAACCTATAATGTGATCACAGATCATGGATCTGAAGAATACGTTATACAAAGGCTCTAGTGAA